TAAGTGGGTGCCAATTTCGGCTTCATGTTGGCTACCATATGTTGTTCAGCCGAAATTGGCACCCACTTAATTTTGAAAATTAAATTTTATAGTGCCTAACAACAATCGACGAAAGAGACTAGTAAATCTTGTTAGATTTGTATCGAAGAAATCAATTTTACCGAATATTATATTAGCTTTCCTACACAGTCTGTTGTTCTTGTAATTTAACTACTTTTTTTAGTCACCTGAACTATTATTCTTTAACTACATCAAAAGTAGTAAAATCAACTACACAAAAATTGTTAGCAAAACTAAAAAAGTAATTAATTTAACAACTTTCCACTCAACTAGGTAATTATAGTAGTTGAAGATTTCGACCAAATTTTTTTCGGTGTACAAAGAAGCGGTTGAAGGTCAGAAAAACAACAACATCTGAGTAAGAAATATATAAAATACAACATTGTATCTAATTTATTGAAAAATTGTAAATTCATAAATGAAAATTTGAACGATATTGTAGATATAGAGGAACTTAAACTTCGATTAGCAAAAATAGAAGAGACACGGAATATTTATGATAGAAGACAAAGTAGATTAGAAATATACACTGAAAAAAATTCTTAGTAGATTTGACTACTTTTTAACTACTTTCCTTAGTTCAATAAGTCCCCAAAGATAATTTTGAACTTACATTAATTATCAGATATGTAGTTGAATGAAGTGATAATACAGTTGCATTAACTACTTTTCTTAGTTAAATAGGAACCAATGACAGTTTTGCAGTAGAATTAACTGCTGATATGTAGTTAAAGTTACTAAGATAACTCAGTAATAAAGACAACTACTGAAAATGGTAAAATAAAATTATTTATAATTTATTATAAATATTATCGAGTTGTATTTTTTTATATTTCCCCCTACCCACTTTTGTTTACCTATACCTTATTTATTTAATGTCTATATACCTAACGGAGAAAAATCTCTAAACGTCGGGAGTTGAACGCTCGACCCTAACATTCGTAAACCGATAACCTAACCACCTAACCACGCTCGCCCGCTACGATGAGTTGCTTAATACTTAAAGGCATTCCTGACACAGTTCAACTGATAACTGTAGTTAATTTTACTACTTAAAGTAGTTGCATTTACAACTTTTCACAGTTGATAATCTTCTATAAAAACCTATAACATAAATTACATGGAAAATAATTCAACTCCTAGAAGAAGTAAAAACTACTACAAAATTAGTCTATCGAACTACTTTAAGTAGTAGAATCTACTACTTTCTGTAGTCATTTCTGTAACATACCTGCAGTTACAAAGTTAACTATAAAATTACATTAATTTAATTAATAATTTTTAACAACATAAAACAGTTAAAATAAGTATCAAAAGTAGCCAGACTAACTAAAAAAGTAGTTCGTTTTATTACTTTTTACTCTACTAAGGGGATGTAGTTGAAAATGTCTCATGTATTTTTTTCAGTGTACTAGCACCAAATCCGAATCGCGAGACAGAACGTGCGGAATTCGAAGATAATCATATTCGTCTTTGTGTACTAGCTTCAAAATTAATAAAAGAACGTTCAATTGCGAGTAGACTACAGGAACTATCCACAAAACGATAAAATAATAAATAATTTTTTTAGTTGTAAGGGGCCGTTCATAAACTACGTCACACTATTTTGCATAATTTTTCCACCCCCCCCCCCTACCCACGTCACAAATTTTACATGCTTTAGCGCCATTTTTTCTACAGAACGTCACAAAAAATGATTCCCCCCCCCTCTAAGGCGTGACGTAGTTTATGGACGGCCCCTAACCATATAAATCAACTATTTTTGTCTATGACACCCGACTTAGACCTGATCTTTTTATCTATTAAATAATTCACCAGTGCTACGGATTATTATACATTATAGGGGGGCGCATGATTATTCCCCAAAATTCAATTTCATAATATTCAAAACATCGAAATTCTTATTATCGAAACGTCAATTCACATAATTTTCATATTTCGAAATACCATTCATCATAATTTTCATTTTGTCGAATAATCATTGATTCTAATTTTTAAATAATCGAATTTTTTTTTTAACATAATTCTTATTTTGTCGAAAAATTTTTTGACATATATTTTATTATTGTTAATGACTATTTGTCATAACTATTAATTCTCCGAATGACTACATAACCTAAAATTCATTCACACTAATCGCCATTTAATATAATTTGTATGTTTGAGAAACGTCAATTAGCATAATTTTCATATTTCGAAATACCATTCAACATAATTTTTATTTTGTCGAATAATCATTGATTCTAATTTTTAAATAATCGAATTGTTTTTTAACATAATTTTTATTCTGACTAATGTCTATTGGTTAGAAGTATTAAATGTTCGAATTATCAATTCATCGAATGCTCAAAACATAGAATTGTTAATTCGTCGAATGCTCAAATAGTCGAAACGCCATCTGTTCGAATTGTCAAGTAGTAGAATGGTAAAGTAGTCGAATGTTCAAATAGTCGAAGCGCCATCTGTTCGAATTGCCAAGTAGTAGAATGGTAAAGTAGTCGAATGGACAAATAGTCGAAACGCCATCTGTTCGAATTGCCAAGTAGTAGAATGGTAAAGTAGTCGAATGGACAAATAGTCGAAACGCCATCTGTTCGAATTGTCAAATAGTAGAATGGTAAAATAGTCGAATGTTCAAAACGTCGAATCGTCAATTCGTCGAATGCTCAAAACATCGAATTGTTAGTTTGTCGAATGCTCAAAATGTCGAAATGTCAATTCGTCGAATCGTCAAAACGTCGAATTGCCAAAATTTCGAAAAATTTGTTTGATTTAATTAAACATTAACTTAAAACAAACAAATGTTTAATTAAATCAAACAAATTTTTCGAAATTTTGGCAATTCGACGTTTTGGCGATTCGACGAATTGACATTTCGACATTCATTCGACGAACTGACAATTCGATGTTTTAAGCATTCGACGAATTGACGATTCGACGTTTTGAACATTCGACTACTTTACCATTCTACTACTTGACAATTCGAACAGATGGCGTTTCGACTATTTGAGCATTCGACGAATTGACAATTCGATGTTCTGAGCATTCGACGATTTGACAATTCGATGTTTTTAGCATTCGACGTTTTGAACATTCGACGAATTGAAAATTCGATGATTTGAGCATTCGACGAATTAACAATTCTATATTTTGAGCATTCGACGAATTGATAATTCAAACATTTAATACTTCTAACCAATAGACATTAGTCAGAATAGAAATTATGTTAAAAAACAATTCGATTATTTAAAAATTAGAATCAATGATTATTCGACAAAATGCAAATTGAAAATGAAATTGAAAATTATGTGAATTGACGTTTCGATAATAAAAATTTCGATGTTTTGAATATTATGAAATTGAATTTTGGGGAATAATCATGTGCCCCCATTATAGGTCTCTCTCTAATTATTAATTGTTATACGACGGCCAAATATATCTTTGTATTCCATCTTAAATTTATCATAGAATTACGCAAAATCGAATATTGTTTTACACACATTCCACGAGTAGATTGTACGACGTCTTGTTACCCATTTATGATCCATTTTGGATCGCGGGATCTTATGTTGTAAATAAATAAAATAAAATGTTTAAATTTGTATGTTCTACCGACAGATTGGCTCAGTCGGATAGATGCCTGGCGTTGGTGGTCGTTTAAGGACCAAGGGTATAAGTACCCTTGGTTCGCGCCCACTTGGCTTGGTATTTTTCCGGCACGTGAGACAATCTGAGCGGGAGGTTTGACGTCGAGGTATAATGATGTGCACCGTCGATTATTGTCCGGTACACACCATTAGAACTCGACTGTCGATAAACCGGTTGTACTCAGGAGAGGTTTTCTACAGTTTCCCTCTTCTCTGGCGAGAAAACCCATTGACGGGTGGTCCAGGCGTAATGCGAGTACTCCTAATAAAGTCGGCTGTAGATGCAAAAATTAGGTTAATATATAGAAAATTTCTAAAGTAGAATGGTTATGCTTAATCCAAAAAAGTATTTCTCGGGAACTCTTGTCGAAGTGCGTAAGGCCAATAGGGCAGGAGTATAAACAATAAAAAAAAAAAAAAAAATTTGTATGTTCTACTATCAAATCTCCAGATCTGAGATAGTGATTAAATATAAATGTCATCTTTTACTTTAAATAACACAATCTCTTTGTATAAACCTATATGGTTAATGATAAATAATTTTTATGTCTTTTGCTGATGGTTCGTCCACAATGAGGAGTGACTAATTTGTCAACTATCCGGTTTTTGCAGGTGTTCTGTTGACAATAAGGTGTAACAGTACATTTTATTATTAGAACTTTGTCGACAATGAGGAGCATCAAATCCAAGAAATTATTTTCAAATCTTAAATATTGATGAGTTTAATTATGTTCGATTTGATTTTGTTCCTTTTGCTGCTTTTTTATCCTATCGGTAAGTCTGGCGCTCAACTCTTCTGGATTTTGCGTTCAATTTTGAAACCTTTTGAATTTATGAAATTTTGTTAAATATTCCATTTGTCTCAGACTCGAAACCGAAGATAACAAATACATTCCTTTTATATGGCGAGGAATAGCGCAGATAAATTTTAAGGTCGATTTAAAGTCAATTTATACTTTCTGTTATCGTTTACTAAATTTATCAATCTAACAACACATTTAACATCATTCATGTAAATAATAAATAAAAATGGACCTTGATTTGATCCTTGTAAAACACCAGATGTTGCTAAGAACGAATTTAAGTACTGATGACAAACATTAACTTGATGATATCAATCAGAAAAATAACAGATCGCAACAAATTATCATAACCATTTATAATTATTTTAAGTCATTATTTCGTATTATCCAAAAGTCATCGCTTTGAGATGTGTATGTAAATAAAAATACAGAAACTTTTCTACTTATTTTTTATGATTCTAATAAATGTTGAAAAATAAGAAAAACTCACCTTGCATCGGGCGTGTGGCAGCAGTCCGCGACATTGTTCAAATCGCCTAAAAAACGTATTTCTCTTGGTCGATTTTGGACGGATTCTTCTGACGACGATATGTTGTGAATTAGAAAAATGACAATGCTCTTCTATAATATTAATTCCGTCACGAAATAATGAAGAGCATTTATAAAATGCATCAATAATTTTCAAATGATTATAAAGTGATGTGGAAAATTGCAAATATTTAAAATCAATGAAATTATTTTTCCCGTTATTATTGGACAACACTTCACTGCCAGCAATGAAGATCAATTTATTTCTAAGACAGCGACAATTGGATGTTTTTGAATTTTGATTTTGAAAATAATAACGATATTCTAGTGGAACGAGAAAAAGTTTATGATGTGAATTATTCGCGGTCGATCTTGTCCTTGATTGTCGACCGCGAGGATTAACAAGAGTTTTCACTCCTGTCAGGTGGGATATTCCGCGGATAGATAATAAATTGAGGATATCCGGTGTGGGGGGTTTGGGGAGAATTTTAAGGGTGGCGTCCATGTGGGGTGAATGGTCACCTCCCTTCCGTTCCTCCTGCTCGTCTCCACGATTTTCTCTTGGCAATGCCACTGTTCCTGCTTCTTCTGCCAAATCGTTCAACTTCACAGATCATCCAATCGTGATCGTGTGAGCTCTCGCTGTAACAAACAATAAATTTACTTTATTTATTTTTATTCCATATTGTTAAACCTTTGATTCTGATTTAGTATTGAACTGTTTTTGCAGTTCGAAAACAATCTCAATCCATTTAAATTCAATTACAAAATTTATACAATTGAACCAAAAGAAAGTAACCCCTATTGGATGAAAATTATTCATTAAATTAAATTTAAATATTTTATTAAACATTATTTATGTTATGCTCAAACTAAGACGTAACTAATATGCTTCAGATGACCAAATTCTATTCTCAAAAGTAAAAACTCTGATTATGTTTGGCATCAAAATAAGACCGTTAAATCATTATTTAAGAAGACATTTCTTTTCGCAGTATTTTAGATTAAAATTTAATATTCTATTTTCAAATTTATGGACAAATCTTAATTTTTCTTTCACATTTAGATTCTATTTGGTAGAGTTATGAATCAAGGACTAAGATACTATATGTATAATAGACACATGACGTATGTAAGTAAAGAATCGTTTAGGTTCGATGGTCAATCGAAAGTACAAAGCTACTTTAACTCTCATTTAACATTTAAAAATCCTTGATTTACACGTATCAAACTTTTCATAAAGTTGACGTGTGCTAAACGTGAATACAACAAAATTCCCCTGCAGTAATATCACCTTTTTTAGAAACTTTCTAATTAAATATAATTTAACTAAGAAATGGAATAAATAGACTTTCTGTCAAATAAACAAAAAACAATTATCTTCCCCATTCATTACAAATTAATTCATAAACATTTATATCGATATGTGTAAATAACTCTGTAAACAAAATTATAGTTTCATTCATACTTGTAATTTTTCCTCGGCACATCTAGACAAACGTCTCAAGAAGTATAAATATAATTAGAAACAAAATAAACTTGTGACCTTTTCTTCGATTTTTCATATTCTTTTTTCTATTTGTAGTTAGTGGGTAGCGGACACGCGTTTTTTTTAATCGCTTACATCATTTCCTGTATATATAGTTCAATATTCGCGCCAACGGGAAAATTGGTACTTCAGACTGACAGTATATAAACAAAGAAAAATATATAAAGTCGACATTTTTTTTTATAGTTTATGCGCATCAGTCCTAAAGATGATTTTGTTTCATAAAGTTTAAACTTTGACTTCAATTTTCGCATTTTTCATTAATATTCATTTATATTTATTTATATTCAATTAAAAGAATTTCTTTTTGAAATTTAATGAAAACTCTTCATTTTTTAAAGAATAAAAATTTTTAACAGCTTTTCTTTAAATTTAAAAAAAAATTACTTGAACAATTCGTGCAAGAAATCGTCAAGATACTTATAACAACAACTCGAATGTAAGATATTTTTAACTAAATAATTAAACTTTTCAGCACAACTGGAACAATTGTTCAAAAGTAAAAAGATATATAAAATTTATTTCAATGAAATTTGACAAAATTTAAACAATTCAAATTTTTTTAAAGTTTCAATTTTTTAAAATTGTTTTAAAAATTTAAACAATTAAAAAATTGACAATTTTGGCCATTTTCATTGAAATAAATTTTATATTTTAATGAATTTTATTTGTTTACTTTTGAACAATTGTTAAAGAATTGAATAATTGTTAAAGAATTTTGAATACATTTTTTCAGGAAACAAATTTTTACGGAATTTCTAAATTAAATTTGATTCAAAACTTCAATACTTTTTGTTAAACAAAAATTTAAAAACTTATTCTTACTTATTTTCCCACAGGAATTAAATTTTCAAATAATTTCAATGAAGAATCTCATGAAATTTAATTATTTCTAAAAATTGCAACTGTAATTCTTCCAAAATTCAATTATTATTTTTTAGATAATTTTTTTAAATAAAAATTTTAATATTTTTTTTCTTTTGCATTCTCTTCAATTTTTTAAGAATTTAATTTAAAACCCTTTTAAAATTGAATTAATTCCTAAAATTCCTGTTATAATAACGCTTTAAATATTCAATTATGTTCTAAAATTTTAACTGAAATTGTTTTTAATTAAAAGAGTTCAACGACGACAATTGAATTATTTAAATAGAATATAATTTTTGTAAATTCATTGAATAATGTATTTTCAAAAATACAATTATATTTATAAATAATTTTTGAAGATGAAAAAATAAAATTCTTTAAAATATAAAATTTTACAAAAATTCCAATTGTTTCAATTTTTTAAAATTATTTTCGGGAATTCAAGTATATCTTCAAAAAATGTTAATTACTATTTTTCAGAAACCTAATTTTTTCAGAATTTCCAAATTTAATCTTTCAAATTTCAATAATTTTTGTAAAATAAATATTTAAATACTTATTGTTCTTTATTTGCTTCAAATTTCGAAATACTTTCAATGTAAAATCATTGGAAACATTTTTTATGAAAATTCGAACTGCAAGTCTTTCGAAATTTAATTATTTTTTTTAGAATTTTTAAATAATATTTAAAACTTTCAATTTTTAAGAAAGCTAACAAATTAATAATTTTTTATATTTAAATATTATTCTACTTTTACAGCAATTAGAATTTCAAGGAATGAAATTTAAAAACTTTTTGAAATTTAATTATTTCTAAAGAATCATACATTAACATTTCTAATTATTTTCTAAAGTTTTAACTAAAATTCTTTTTCAAATCAATTGTTAACAGAATTCAATTATTTAAATACAAAAGTAAATAATTTATGAAATAATTAATTATTATAAAATGTTTTGTCAAACTTTTAACATAACAATTCGAACTATAAAACAAAAAATTGAAATCATAAAACACTAAATTCTAATTATTTTCTAAAGTTTTAACTAAAATAATTTTTTAATTTAATTTTTATCAGAAATTCAACTACGAGAATTCAATTATTTAAATACCAAAAATAAATAATTCATGAAATATTTAATAATTTTTAAAAATTGCAACCATTCCTCTTTATAAGGTTTTTGAAATTTTGGTTAAATTTCCTTACTTTATACTTGTTTATTGTTTAAAAATTAACTGTCAAACTTTTGACATAACAATTCGAACTATAAAACAATTTGGCATCAAAAAACACTAACTTTACGTGAGAACAGATTATCTCGATTATTATTATATAATTATGCAAAATACCAAAAAGAATACCTTCTTCTATTATTTCCAAAAAATTCCAACCCAAAATATTCTTTTTTTTTAAATGAAAGATGTAAGTATTTTTCAAAACCACTATTTTCTCCCGGAGATCCTTCAATTAATCATTAATGCTTCATTAATTAAGAATTAATGCGTTAAAATGAAAGCAAACTATACGAAATTTGAATGTTCATAAATCATATTATAAACTACCTTATTCTTTTTTAAACGATGTGTACATATTATAATGAATATATTTTTATTATTATTGCCAACTGTCTATTAATCACAATAATTTTAGGTAGACTATTAAATAGATTTACAGTGTACAATAAACATCTTGTTATTAAAATAAATAATTTTAATGACAATTTTACTTGTAGCATTATATTTATATAGGTGAATAATTTCCTTACTAATATGATATCGAACTGAAAACTAATTACCATATCTCTAGTATTTATTTTTCTCTTTCTAAGCAATAAAATATTTGCCAAAAAAATATATTGTCGCAATGTAAGTTTAATTGATTCACTATATCTCTATTTTTTTTTATTTTTCTAAGTAATTTGAGTTATCGCGCTTTGTCTTATCGAGAGTTGACTGTACCTATTTTTTTCTATTTTAAGCAGTAAAATATTTTCCAAAAAAATATATTAAATTAAATACAAATATATAAATATACGCATAAATTAAAATTTAATTATAGCAAAGAAAATGCTTTATGAAATAACTTTGTATAAATCTAAAGAAAGTGGAAGAAATAGCAAAAAGAATTAATATCCATAAAATAAAAAAAAATTAAAACAAGTAAAATAAATAACATAAATAGGAAAATAAAATAAATGCAGAAATAGATAAATAAGAGTAATAAATTAATAATAAATGAATAAAATAAATAAATAAAAGAAATAAAATCAAATATCAATCTTGAAAAATATACCGTAATTTACGCGCGTCACCACAATAGAGAACATTACGTAAAAAAATTGTACTAGTCTGTGAGTCAATGTCATTGAACACACCTTTATTCCTTGAATTACAAAAACAAATTCTATGAAATTTCTATACAAATATGAGTTTGAATTTAAAATGTTTCTTTGCTTCCCAATGGTTCACATTTAATTTTTATGCAATATACCTACATTTTTTCTATAAATCTCATTTATATAAAACTATATTATTCATTTATATAAAAAAGAGAAAAAACACTGCAAAGTATTTTCTATATATAAACGTCCTTGAATTACTGTTATTTTATTATATAATTTTACAAAAGGAAAAAAAAGGAAAATAGTATAAAATATTGATTTTTATTCTTTAAAATTAATATTAATCAACTAATAACTCTCAATAATAATTTTC